GGATTTGGGTGGGTGAGTAGATATGTGGTTGGGTAGGTGAGTGCATGGGTGGGTGGCTAAGTGGATGGGTAAGGTTAGGTTAGGGTTAGAGTGGATGGATGGGTAGGTGTGGATGGGTAGATGAGTGGATGGGTGGGTGGGTGAGTAGGTGGGTGGGTGGATGAGACTGTGTGTGGATATGTGGGTGGGTGGATGGGTGAGTGGGTGAATGGGAAGACAGATGGGCAAGCTTGTGTTTATTTTTCTGTTTTACCCAATACCGAGTGGGTACCAGACGTAGTTTATTGGATAAAACATTCCGTGGTGTTTCCAGCCGTCCCTTCCCCTTGGTCCCTCAGTCTGGCCCGTCCCTGTGGCTTTGGCTCCCTATCCCCCCCACCTCCCCGCTCCCTAAGTCAGAAGAGTGGGACAAGTCGGGGGCAGGCACCCCCATCACCTTTCTCCCACATCCCCTCCAGGAAGCAGCCGCAGAGCCCCAAAGCTCCTGCACCCCAGCCGCCCCCCATCCTTAAAGTCTTCAACCGGCCCATCCTCTTTGACATCGTGTCCCGGGGCTCCACTGCCGACCTGGATGGGCTGCTCCCCTTCTTGCTGACCCACAAGAAGCGCCTGACTGACGAGGAGTTCCGGGGTAAGCCACTCAGGCGGGCATTTCCCCTCAGTGCCTCCCCTCGGGTCGGTGGACTCCAGATGGATGCTGCATAGGGAGTCTGGTCCAGTGTGTCTTTTGCCATGCTGCTTAACTTCTCTGGTCCTTGGCTAGCTCCACTGATTCCTTCTGTCCTTTTGCAAAGGTCAGTGTGGTAAGCAGAGTCCACCCTCATGGGTTCAAATCCCATGTTTGCCACTTAAGGGGTGTGTGACTTCTCTACGCCCCGCTGTCCACATCGTAAGCTGGAGGATAACAGCATGATCCTGGCCTTGGAGGAGAGATGGCTCTGTAAAGCGACAGGCATAGACAGCTGGGGTCCTCTCTGTGGGGGCGGAGGGCTGGGCAGGGCATCTGACTGTGATTCCTGCATTCAGAACTGGAGCCTCCCCTCCCCCTGCCCCAATCCCCGGTGTCCCTGCTCAGAGTGAAACCCGGCTCACTTCCTGCAGCCCACAGTACGGCCTCCAGCCCAGTCCAGGCCTGTAACTGAGGCACGGCGGCTGCAGCCCCTGTCCAGGTCAGCGCCCATCATGTGCCTCGGAGCCTGGTCACTTGCTCAGATGACCCATCCACTTGCTCGGGAGAGTGTCGCAGTTGTGGCACCTGCTGCACAGAGAAGCCTGTCACGGGCTGGCTGTGGGTGGTGTAGGCTCTGTCTAAGGAAGCTTCAGGCCATTGTCTGAGGCTTGTGTTAAGTATACTAACTGCCAGAACAAAGCAACAGAGCCCGTGGGTCAGTTCCCACACAAACACTTATCACTCTGAGCCTTAAGGGGAAAACAACACCAGGCAGCTTCTCTGTGTCCATCAGCAGGGAATGACTAGATGCATATTCACGTATGCTGGCTATGGAAGTACACTCTGGGAGGCTGAGGCAGGCAAGTTCACCCCAGGCTGGGCAACTTAGGGACTTAGCAAGACTGTTTCAACGAATACAAAGGGCTATACCGGGGATATAGTTCAGTGTGGAAGCACCAGGTTCAATTCCCAATGCCAGGAAAGCAAAAAGTGGTGCCAGGTCCATGAAGACAGCCTGGTTCGAGGGCATAAGCTTGGAGTTGAGGGGGTCAAGGACCCCTTGCTACTTCCAACTATCTCAGTGGTGCGAGTGACCTCACTGGGAAGTAAGCCGCATCCAGGCCCTGACCAAGGTTCCTCCTGGTGCGCATTTGCCTGGCAAAGCGGGGCTTGCCCAGGCTTCTGTCTTCTGAGTTTAACCCCGAGCCAGCCAGCCGGGGCTCCTTGCCTGCTCTGGAAACCCCGGGCAGCTGCATATCCATGCTGAGAATGGGCCAGGGCTGGTCCCAGAGTCGCAGAAGTCAGTGTGTGGAGGGAGTTACAGGGACTTGCCATGCTAGGGCTAAGCTGCAGGGTCTCTCTTGCTAAGGCCTTTCCACAGTCCTGGGCCTAGTTTTGCTTTCTTAATTGTGTTTGATTTCGTAATCAAGGCTCCCAAATTGTACAAGCCTGAGGCTCCACTAACCCCACATCCATCCCTGTATTATTTATGACTAGAGGCTAATGAGGTCATGAGATTTTCAGGGGAGGCAGGAACACACACACACACACACACACACACACACACACACACACACACACACACACACACAATTTTGCAACAATGTATTTGGCAACAGTTGATTTAGGGTCCCTGGCTCCCACAGCCCCTGTGGGTAAAGACACTCTGCCACCTGGTGGTTGGGCCATGGAACTGCATGTCTTCCTCCATCTGTGGGAAGCCTCTGCTCCTCATACCTGTGTCTGAGGATCCTGGAAGCCCAGATCCGGGGCCTAGGCCCATTTTGTGTTGCCTATGGTTTGAGGTTACCTGGGGTGCCCACATCTCCCACTTCAAGAACTGTATCAGGTGCTGTGCGGGCAAGGGGTGGGGGTAGCACAGATGCTAACCAGTGAAGCAGGTGTGACCCTGCCTTCGGGCCACTCACACGCTCCTAGGTTAGACTTCACTGTCCAAGCAATCACAGAAATAAACACAGTTACAAACAGAAATGGCTATATCGGAGAATGTGAGCTCCTCGAGGAGTCTGGGACAACATCTTGGAGGTGACACTCAGGCTAGGTCTGGATGAGTTGCTTCAATTCAGTGAAGAGTGAGGAGTGGGTGTCAGACAGCATGTGCAAAGGCCCTGCTCAGCTCAGAGTTGCATCTCTGAGATGACCACTGTCACTGCTAGGTGGAAAGGCCAGAGAAGCCAGGGACTATTGGCTAATCAGTGACTATTAATTAGCTCATAGAATTCTCACCACAGCTCCAACTTAACTAGAAAAGAAAGTGAGCAGAGAAAGGGTAACGGGTAACCAGGAGCAAAGCCAGTGCAGAGTGGGTGGCAGCAGATCTGGCCCTCAATCCACACGGGGTCTCCCACCCTGAGCCCACACCTGTGCCCTCAGTGTGATGTTGCCCCAGGCCTAGTTCACGTGGGAGTGAACATACTCTTGAGATAGGAGTCAACTCATGACCAGAAAAATAATTACAAGGAAAAGGAACTCACCAAAGGGTGTTGGCAAGCCTGAGAGACAGGCAGGAGGTCCCGGATGCCCAAGGCTATACTGACATCATGGGGGAAGAGGCCTTCAGGTGACCGCTGTGTCCTTGGGACCCCCAAGACTTACTCCTGGCCTCCTATGGTAATTTCTAGTCCTCTGTATTCCACGCACACTTTGGGGAACACTGCGCCCCACCCTCCCTCCAGCAGCATCAGTGTAATGGATGGGGTAAGGGAATCTGCGTCCTAGCAAGTGAGCAGATGCAGCCTGGAGGTCTTGCTATTAGAAGCCCACAGTCCCCCTTACAGGCTCTGAAAAGTCCTGCAGTGAAAGAATAGATTTGACTTTGTGCATTGTTGTATTTTTTTTCTGGGGCTGAGGATTGAATTTGGGGCCTCATGGAGGTCAGGCAAGTACTCTGCTACTGAGGTGCACTCCTAGCTTGGTTCACTTTAACTCTGCATTCACATTTATTTGATTACAAAGCCCTTTAAAAATCCCCCCAAATTTGACTGATTAAAATTTAGGCAGTGACCACCTACATTTCAAAGCATTTCTGTTCCCATAATTTTATGTGACTTCCTTAGCATCACAAGAGGCAGATAGAATGACCCCGTGTCCTCACCAGACAGATAGGGGGGGCAGCCTGGAGAGGGTCCAGGGCCACTGGCTCCCTGGCCAGCAGCCCAGCGCTGAGCCTGCCTCATCCTGTCTGTCTGCCTCCCAGAGCCGTCCACGGGGAAGACCTGCCTGCCCAAAGCCCTGCTGAACCTGAGCAATGGCCGCAATGACACCATCCCTATGCTCCTGGACATTGCTGAGCGCACAGGCAACATGCGGGAGTTCATCAACTCACCCTTCCGGGACATCTACTACCGAGGTGGGGCGCTGTGCAAGGGAAGAGGGTGTTCAGGGTAGCAGTGGAGGCTACAGCCTTGCTCATCTGACTCCTGAGAGCTTTGGGTTGGGCCTCAAGTGCCAACATATACCCAGGCAGTCACTTGCAGGTGTGGCTGGGTGGCTGGGTGGCTGGATAAGGAATAACCACCCCTTCCCTGCTGATGTTCTGAGTTTTGGAATCAGAGATTCCAAGATGTGGAGAGGCAGCGAGCCTAGTAGTCCCTGAACCTGGGATTCTGGACCTAAGAGGTGATGGGATTGAGCACAGAGGCTCTGTGGAGATGATTCTGAACTAGCAACACTGGGGTAAAGGCGGCAGGTGCCCAAGCTCTGTTGTGCTCAGTTCTGACAGTCTGTGAATCAAATCTGGCCTTTCAGATTGCCCGACATTAACATTCCAAGTCCATGAATTTTATATGCCAAGTTGAAAATTCTGTGCAGTGAGCTGCCTTTGTTTCCTCTTGGATTAAAGTAGCACATGTGTCTCAAAAATTCAGGCCACTGGGGTCCCACAATTAGGGTACCCTTGGTACTTAAAATTCTATTTCTACAATGCACAGACCTCAGGCTTTATGCACCCCAAATTCTATGTTCTGGGGAGCATTTGAAGCCCCAGGGATTGCTGTCTAGGGCCTGACTTATAGCCCCCAGGCAAGTCTAGTGGGGTCTCTGTGAAGGGGGACCCCTGTCTGACTGTCGCCCTACCCGCAGGTCAGACCGCCCTGCACATCGCCATCGAGCGCCGCTGCAAACACTACGTGGAGCTCCTGGTGGCCCAGGGCGCCGATGTGCATGCCCAGGCCCGCGGACGCTTCTTCCAGCCCAAGGACGAGGGCGGCTACTTCTACTTTGGTGAGTTAGGGCCTGCTGGGGTGGGGGCCCAGAGGAGTTTAGGTGTCGATGTCGCTCCCGGCCGGCAGGAAGGACACACGACAAAGTCTGGCAGTGGACAACCTTTTCTTTATTCTCTCCTTATACAGTCTGCCCCGAAGCCTCTACCGGTCCGCTCTCCGCGGCTCCTTCCGGGCTTCTCTCCCCCGAAGCCTCTACCGGTCCGCTCCCCGCGGCTCCTTTTGTGCTTCAGTCTCTCTCTCTCTCGGGGGTGGAGGCACTGGCTATATATAGGATTAATAGCTAGGCAGACTACCCTGTGAGGCGGGAACTTAGTGGGGTGATAAGAAACAGGTGCCACACAGGCGGGCTCGATGAGAGGGGTAATCTAGCTCAGGCTTTTGTACTTTCCCACAGGCCTCGCAATCACCGCGTCTGATGACTTGACAGTGCCACGGCTCCCAACATCTCCCCCTATTTTATTTTAAATGATGGCTACGCGCATCGCAGCCCGTCCTGGATAGAGTGCAGAGGCCTATGCCCCGAACTGAGGCCCACCGTAGGCCCTTAGCGTAGACCCTGGTCGGCCGTCCCAGGGTCCACCAAGGCCCTGAGGCCCTCGTCCTTTTTTCTAGGGCCAGGAATGAACCGGACGGAACCTGGTTGCACATAGGCATGCACTCATTTCTCTCCACGAATCCCCTCGGAGAGAAATTTATCTAACAATCCAGCGGCTTTCGAGCGGAACGGGGTAGGGCCTGGCTTAGGTTGAGTCGTGCTGGGGAGGCACGCTCTTACCCGTCATTGACTCACCCACCCTGCTACATGTTGTTGTCTAGGGAGGAGAATGTGGGAAGCCTGTCACTTTTAAACGCGGTCGTAGGCCATGCGAGCGAGCCATGCGTATACAAGGGTAGCACATAGGGGAGCAAGCCGTTCCAGGCCCCCAAAAAGGGACTGTCCTGCAGTTCTTTTAGGGCTCATCTTGTTGTTGGGTCTGCGGTTGGCCTCCGGTGGAACAGGCCTGATCTTCAGTCGAGGGACTTGTCGCGTCAACCTCTCTGGGACCCACATTGGTTCTTGTCCCGATTCCTGCGGAAAGACACAAACCGCGCCTCGGCTTCCTCTTTTGTATCTCTGCCCTCCTTGACGGACCCTTCTCGGGAGCTTCCTCACTGTGCCTGTTCAAACACCTCGAGTACTTCTACAAGTTCTTGAGAGCTCCCCCCGTAACTACCCTCACTCTTTAGGCACGTGTGTATCATTTCCCACAATGGACGAGCAGAGACTGAAGCTCTACCCTCCCGTTCTGCTAGGGAAAGGTCTCTGCCCAACTTTTCCCAGGAGGGCAGGTTTACATGCCCTGTAGGCAGAAACCAGGGAGCAAAGCTGTCAATCTCTGCAAGGAAATTTTCTAAAGTCTTACGCCCCACCTTGAGGTCCTTGGACTTTAGGAGTCTCCGAAGGACCAACACCAAGGCTGTGTATCTTTACTTGGCATGTTTCCCATTTTTAATATATCTTCTGTTATTTTTACTTCTATGTTTATGTTTTACACTCTTTTATTACCTTAAGTTCTGGTGTTATGTTTCATACTCACCGCGTGAGGCCCAAGAAACCCGCCACTTACGCGTGAGGTTGAGAGGAGTCTACAAACCCTGTAGGTGCGCGCCACCCAGGGCCCAGGCTTATGCTCTACTCACCTGTCCTGCAGCTGCAGCACTGTGTAGGAGAATGCAGTCCACCGCCGCGTCTCGGGGTTGATCAATCCCCGTGCGGGCCACCAAATGTCGATGTCGCTCCCGGCCGGCAGGAAGGACACACGACAAAGTCTGGCAGTGGACAACCTTTTCTTTATTCTCTCCTTATACAGTCTGCCCCGAAGCCTCTACCGGTCCGCTCTCCGCGGCTCCTTCCGGGCTTCTCTCCCCCGAAGCCTCTACCGGTCCGCTCCCCGCGGCTCCTTGCATGCTTCAGTCTCTCTCTCGGGGGTGGAGGCACTGGCTATATATAGGATTAATAGCTAGGCAGACTACCCTGTGAGGCGGGAACTTAGTGGGGTGATAAGAAACAGGTGCCACACAGGCGGGCTCGATGAGAGGGGTAATCTAGCTCAGGCTTTTGTACTTTCCCACAGGCCTCGCAATCACCGCGTCTGATGACTTGACAGTGCCACGGCTCCCAACATTTAGGGTAGGAAACATGGGGTGCAGTGGGTGTCCACAATCCTGGGCAATCCGCAGACACTAGAGTCGTGCTGGCACTGGCCCTTGTGGTCTTGCCCACTAAGATCTTGCATCTAAGAGGCGAGCACTAGAGCAAGCTCAGGGGCAGGGCCTCAGCTTCCCACCTGCACAGAGAGGATTTTGAGAACAGAGTATGCTGATGCGGTATCAGCACCCGTGTTTCATATCCTTTAGTCCAACTTAGGCTGGGACTAACAAATTCCCAGGCACAAACCCCTTCGCTATCATATGGTCATAGTCGGATTAATGAACTATTTTGAATGTTGCCCCTGCTTAGGGTACATGTTCCTTGAGGCTCACAAAGTCCCACAAAGAATTCGCCATTCATGCTAGAGGTTCGGCCCCTCCACTCCAGCTCACACGGCCACGCCCCTGAATAGCCTTACCACACGGCTGATGCTGAAAATAGGCTTGCCCCAGTAACCACGCCACAAATAGCCTTAGCCCCCAAACGTGCATGCCTTCAAACACCTCCCAAATACCCATGCCCTCAAATAGCTACTTTCCGAATAGCCACGTCCCTCATAGCAGCCCCCTGAACAGCCACGCCTATGGGAGCAACATGACCAAATACACCCCAATTACCATGCCCTGAGTAACCACATTCAGGAATAGCCACGCCCTAAGTAACCTCACCCAGTAGAAACATCCTCAAATAGTCATGCCTCCAGTACTGTGCCCCAAATTAGCCACATGGCCACGCCCAGATTGCCACGCCCACGGTAGACACGCCCCCAATATTCCTGGCCCTGCAACCCCCTATCCCGAGTGGCCGCGCACCCCTCCCAGCAGGGCACAACGGTGAGGTCTGTGTGGAAGGACGTGCTTAACGTGGTTGTAGGTGCTGCATGCTTGTCAAATGCAGACGCCGAAGCATCTGTCCATCCTGGGCCACGCACTGACATCCCCCACCCTCCCTGCCTGCAGGGGAGCTGCCGCTGTCGCTGGCTGCCTGCACCAACCAGCCGCACATCGTCAACTACCTGACCGAGAACCCGCACAAGAAAGCCGACATGCGGCGCCAGGACTCACGTGGCAACACGGTACTGCACGCCCTGGTGGCCATCGCCGACAACACCCGGGAGAACACCAAGTTCGTCACCAAGATGTACGACCTGCTGCTGCTCAAGTGCGCCCGCCTCTTCCCCGACAGCAACCTGGAGGCCGTGCTCAACAACGACGGCCTCTCCCCGCTCATGATGGCCGCCAAGACCGGCAAGATTGGAGTGAGTGGGGACTGGCCTTTGCGCACGCGCACGCACGCACGCATACATGTATGTACACATGCACACACGCACACGCGTGCGTGCATGCGCAGACCTGCTCCTGGAAGTCATTATTACTACGGGCACCCACCTTCCAGTTTGCCAGTCCTGTTGTGCAAGTGGCTTAACTCAGGAATCTGCTATGGCTCCCTAGTGGCCCGCCAACCTGCTCAGCCATTCACTGGGCACTTACCCTCTGCTCCATTAGCCATTGATATAAAAGTAGTCCAGGGCCCCAGCTTGGTCCTCCCACGCCCTAATCTTCGGAGTACCTGGGTACAGTGCATCCCCTCTCTGGGCCTCACGCTATGGGGCCCAGAACGGTTTCTCAGTCTCAGCACTGCTTTTGGACTGTGCATTATAGGAAGTTTAGCTGCATCTGATGGCCTTGATAGACAGGCTGCCCCTTTCACACTTGTGACTGCCAAAAATGTCTGCAGACGTTGCCAAATTGCCATTGCCCTGATTGGGAGCCAAATCCCGAGCACAACTGGTTTGGCCGTGGCTCAGCATCTTCCCTGCATGTGTGTCAAGCCTTGGATTTCCCTTCTCTGGGTCTGTTTCCTTGTCTGGAAATTGGGGCTAATAATAGCTGCTTCTGGTGTAGGGTTACTGTGAAAAGCAAAGATCTTAAAAAGAGCTCAGGTAGTAAGTGCTCAGTGAGTGGAAGGGCTATGGTTCCATTAAAAATATTTCTGGGAAAGAAATGTGCTGGGTTTAATGGCACATGGTTGGAATCTCTGCACTCTACAAGGCTGAGGCAGAAGGATCGAATATATATTTAAAAAGGTTCCCTGCATGGTGGCTACGGGGGAGACCCAAGCAAGAGGATCTTGAGTTTGAGGCCAGCCTGACAACCTGATGAGAACTAGTCTCAAGGAAAAATATATGTATGTGTGTTATGTATATGTTTAGCAAAAGCTACTAAAATCACAGTTATACCAGAGTCCTGAGGTGGGAAGGAAGGCCTGTGTTTAATCTTTGTCCTATAAAGATAGTGGTAGGGATGGGATTGTTGTGGTTAGGATTATTGTGTTAGTAAGATTGAGTCATTGCTGTTTAATGGGGAAGGTCCCCTGATCATTAGGATGGTTAAATCTTGCTTGGGGTAGGGCCTCTGCTGTGTGGCCTCAGGGAACACCTTTTGTGCTTCTCTTCCTCATCTGTAAACTGAGATTTTAAGAATAAAGAGGAAAGGGCTGGGGATTTAGCTCAGCGGCATAAGTACCTGCCTTGCAAGCAGGCGGTCTTGAGTTCGATCCCCGGTACCGATAAAAAGAAAAAAAGAATAAAGAGGAAATGAGATGGCACAAGATCTGGCAAGCAGTGGTGCTTGGCGGTTTTCCTGCAGCCTGTCCTGTCCTCTGTGCAACAGCCACAGGGTCTGTCCCCTGTGACAGGCTGAGTGGCAGTCTCCGCAGGACCCTCATACCCTCCCGTCCCCCATGCAGATCTTTCAGCACATCATCCGGCGGGAGGTGACTGATGAGGACACGCGGCACCTGTCCCGCAAGTTCAAGGACTGGGCCTATGGCCCAGTGTATTCCTCGCTCTATGACCTCTCCTCCCTGGACACGTGTGGGGAAGAGGTCTCCGTGCTAGAGATCCTGGTATACAACAGCAAGATCGAGGTGGGCAATGGGGCAGGGTGGGCATGGGGACGGAGGGTGCAGCTGGGAGCATGGGCTGGGTTGGTGGGACTCGAGAATCCATGCCTCTGTGACCCATAGTCCTGGGTCTGGGAGCCAAGTACAAGGGAAGGTGCCATCTTAAGTGCCCAGAAAGTGTCTGCTGGCCTTAAGGACATGAGCAAGGCTTGTGGGAGGGTGGGCTTGGTGTGCAGGGTGGGCTTGATTGGGATCTTGGCTCTGTCGCTTTACCTGCTGTGAAACAGGATGATGATTTGTCCTTTCTGAGTCTCAGCTTTCTCCTTTGTAACCTGAGTCTCAGCTCTCTCGTTTGATGGGAGGCCCAGATCAGTTAATTTTAGAACACGGTATAGATGCTGTGTGTCAGCTATTATCATTAGTGGTCGTTACATGAAGTTTCACAAGCCCTTCGCTTTCACTTAGTGTTTTGTGAACATGGTTCTACACCATTAAATACTCTTCTGCAATTCCAATGCTGCATGTAAATAAATGTGCCAAATGCTAATGACCCGTTCCTCTGCTGTCGGTCGTTTGGGTCTGTTTCTGCCTTTAACTATGAGGAATACGCTTCACAAGCATCTTTTATGGTTGTGCTGTCACACAAGTCCACGGTTATGAAGAAATTCAATTCATTAGTGGTATTGGATGCTGCACGAATGAGGCAGAAAATGCTGGGGAGTGGGCATGGGTGGTCTCCTTCCCAGCCCTGTGCCATGGCTTATGGTTCTGTAAGTTCAACTTTCCTCACAAGATCTCCCACTTCCTTCCTCCTTAAATGAGTGACCTGCTTGATTCAGATCACTTTGCAGATTTAGTTTATCATCTCTGGTGCCAACTCTGATCGATTGGTAGAGTCTATCCAGGGAACTATATAGAGCACTGTGGTGCAGGGCTCAATTATTGATGTCTGGCCTGGATTCAGAATTGGAGAATTGGCATGAGTTAATCATTTATCATGTTTGAGCTAAATTTCTGTCTTGCGCCCTGGATCAGAATTTCTGAGAGTAGAGCCCAGGTATTTATATTTTTAAGTCAACAACTCAATACTGCTTACAGATTGGAATTTGGGAACTATGAGGATAGCTGTTCTTTAAAGATCTCTCCAGCTCTGGTTTTATTCTAGAATAGGGTAGGAAGGTAAGTTGAGGCAGAATTGGACAGAACCTTGAACGATGAGCCCAGGAGTTTGGAGAACTCAATGCCCATCTGGTCCCCTGCAGATCCTGTGGTATGGCTGGAGAGTGGATTAAGGAAGGGAGTGCCCTGGGGGTGGAGGGTGGGGAAGGCACATCAGAGCCAGCCAGTCTGGAGCGTCAACATCAAGACGGTGGCTCCACCCACCCTGTCTCTCACAGAACCGCCATGAGATGCTGGCAGTGGAGCCCATCAACGAGCTGCTGCGGGACAAGTGGCGGAAGTTTGGGGCTGTCTCCTTCTACATCAACGTGGTCTCCTATCTGTGTGCCATGATCATCTTCACCCTCACTGCCTACTACCAGCCACTGGAGGGCACTGTGAGTGCTTGGAGCTGGGCAGAGCGAGGCTAGTGCTGGGCTGGGGCCCTCAGGCCTGGGACAGCTGGTTCTCCTGGGTCCCCAAGGGAGGGAATAGACAGCCCCTACGGACAGGTGGAGGGGGTCTGCCGACATCCAGGGTGGCCCTGGGAGGAAACCCAGGCGGAAGCTAACAGGGCTTCAAAGGACCCAGATGTTCGTGGCGCTGGGGAACATCTGGATTGAGGGCAGAGGCTGGAGGGGCAGATGAGGATCTTGCCCCTCCTCCGCAGCCACCCTACCCTTACCGCACCACAGTGGACTACCTGAGGCTGGCCGGCGAGGTCATCACGCTCTTCACGGGGGTGCTGTTCTTCTTCACCAATGTGAGTGCCTGGCCCTCCTGCAGCCGCTGCCCAGCCCTCTTCTCCTCATCTCCTCCGAGTCATCCTGCCTCTGCCTCAACAGCAAAGAATCCATTGCCTCTGTCTCCTACTCTGCCTTCCTCTCCTCTCTTCTCCTCGGGGTTCCGCCGCTGTCACCAGCCCGCTCTCCTCTTCCAGATCAAAGACTTGTTCATGAAAAAATGTCCTGGAGTGAACTCACTCTTCATCGACGGCTCCTTCCAGCTGCTCTAGTGAGTGAAAGTCCCTGAACTGCCAGCCTCTTGGGGCTCATGGTGGGGCAGGTCATCCGCTTCTGGCATAGAAGTGACTTAACGAAGTGGCAGGTCAAAGTCAGGGCAAGGCCAACGTCTGATGAAGAAATACTGTATTCTGTTCGCTAGGGAGTTAGCATATACACCATAGGAAGGAAGGAATAATTTTAACCTCTCATGTTGGCAATTGATTGCTATTGTCTGCCTGCAATGCCTTGTTTTTTAGTACTGGGGGATGGAATCCAGGGCCTTTGCCCTGAGCTCCAGTCCCAGCCCACCTCTCCTGCCTTTTTTTTTTTTTTCTTTTAAGAGAGGATCTTGCTAAGTCACTGTGTTGCCGGGGCTGGGTTTGAATTTTCAGTCCACCTGCCTTAGCCTCTTAGAGTGCTGGGACCATGTTTGAAAACTTGGTGCCTGTATTTGTATTTAGTAGCAAACACAGTATCTGTGAGTGAAGAGTGATTACAGTATCTACCTAGGACACTGGCTGTGGGCCAGATTAGGAGTCCCTGCGTGTGCGCTGCATCTTATTCATTAGCTTTAGAATTACAAAACACTGAAATTCATGTAACCCCAATGTGTCCACTGAATCTTTGTGTAGCAATTCCAAGAGGCATCACTTTGGGGTCTTGTAGGCCTTAGGGCCAATAAATACACCTGGATTCCTCTTAACCGATTGCATGTTCTGGCTAATGGAAGACTGAGGAGCCCAGTTGGTCCACTTTGATTTTCTTCTGGTGCTCTGGAAGCATCATGACATCCTGGTACCCTGGAGGGTGGGCCATGTCTTTCTCTCGTGGTCTCATTGTCCCCTGCCCCCTCTGGCCCTCCTGTGGTCTTTGCCGCCCTGTAGCTTCATCTACTCTGT